CGTTCAAGGTTTAGTTCCGTCGGGCCCAATGGCGTTATCGTGTCCCTCGGTGCTTCCGCGTCGCAGAATTCAACCTTGAACTCCTTCGCCAGCGTCGCCAGCGCGCCAACGCCGCAAGAACCTACCGTAACCTTGGAGAGTTGCGCATCCTTACTGACTATGCGGGTTGCCTGCACGCGAGATGACAGAGCGACCTTACACGGCGGCTGACGCGGGACGCCGACGCGGCACGCCACATTGAAGGCGAGGCCGCTCACGCGAGCGAGGGGTGGACGGGGGAACGGCGGGGGCGAGTGCTTCGGCGCCGTGCGCAGGCAACGGCGAGCGGCCACTCGCGAGGCCGCTGCTCGCAAATCGAGGTCGCCCGACTTCGAAGCGCGGGCCGCGACCCTCGAGAAGGGCAGCTCGCCGGCCCAGACTGCCAAGGGCGCGGCGCGACTGTCTCTGCGCCCATGCGGATGACCCCAAAGTCGGGATCGACCACAGAATTGATCACCCCAAAACTGATTTGTTCGTCGGATCCACGGAACAGGCATAGGATGCTCGTAGGTCTACGAACACTATACGAAATTGTTGTGCATTCGACGATAAACTCAATCTGGGGGTAAATCTATATTGTAGTCGATCCCCTACGTACTCGAAAAAGGGCTCCGCCCAAAAAAGGCTCAAAGTCCGTGAACAGGCCCCAACCGAGGGCCTGTGCAACCTTCCAGCCTGCGCCCAGCCGTGACGACGTGCCTCCCCCGAGGAAGGGCTCCTTTCCACGCCCAGGCCGTTGAGACACAAAACGTAGTGAGATGTCCGAGTGCCTCGATCCTCGAGCCTTACGACGAAGCCAGGACGAGGATCCAATCGGGCGAGGATGCATCGAAAACCTGTGAGATCTGGCGGCTCTGCAGGATGTCTCGGGCGCCGCGGCCTTCGCAGAGCGTTCCGGAACGCTCTGAGAGCGTTCCGGAGCGCTCTGGAACGGATGTATGAAGTCGGGCCTGTCCCCCTACAGGGGGATTTTCGACGAAAAATAAAAAATACCCCAAAAATAATCCAGAAATAAACAAGAAATAGTCTGGGGACTATTTTTCGAGTATTGCCTTTTTGGGGCATTTTGGGGGTATTTCTCCCGTCGAAAATCCCCCTGTAGCGGGACAGGCCCGACTTAACGAATGTATCCTCGTCCCACGCAGCCCCGCCCGATGGAGGAGGAGGTGATTGAGCCCCGGCGGCCTCCGCCGCTGCCGCCGGCTGGCGCCTGCACCGGAGCAGGGGCCGTGGGGCGGCGAAGCGGCGTCGTGCCCCCACCCCCCGTAGAGGTGGAGGGGACGAGCTCCCGGCGCCCTCTGGCGGCAGGGGCCCCGAAGACAGGGGCGGCGTCTGTACGGGTGCCGGTGGCGCACGCGGGGTGTTAATTTGCGAGGCTCAAGCGCCACGGAAGCACACAACGTCCGGCAGCCTGGACTAGGGGAACAAAAAGTGGCATTAGCATAAAAACTCGGAGGTCCGCGCGGATTTCTCGGATCGGCGCTGGGGCCCCTCGGCGGCGCCTCTGGCGCCGCCCCCTGGCGCGCTCCGCGCGCCAGGGAGGGGGCCCCAGCGCCGATCCAAGAAATCCGCGCGGACCTCCGAGTTTCTATGTTTGTGTCACTTTTTGTTCCCCCATGGACAGGACCTGCGCAAATCTTCTCTGCGGCGCGCAGAGCGGGCACGGTCGGAGGCGTGGCCTTCCGAGGAGAGTCCCTGCTCGGGAGGTGCACGGAAACTGGCCTCCCGTGAGGAGGCGATGCCTGGCCCGTGGCCCCTCTGCCATCTTGCAGAAGGGCCCCCAGGACACACAAATAAATACACACAAATAAAAAGACTCCCCATATTTTCCCATATTTTCTGGGTTTCTGTCTTCCCCCCCACTTCCCATATTTTCCCATATTTTCTGGGGAATCGACGATTAATTGTGTCTGTGTGTTTCTTCCCCTCCTGACTTGCAGCACACCGTGCGCTGCGCTTGTCGGGGCGCGGAAGAATGCCCAGGTCTGCCGGGTCGGGTCTCTGTAGTTTCTGTGGACGCCGCCCCCCGCTCTCGACGCACCCGGCTGCATGCAGCGCCCCCTCTTCCAGGGCCACCAATCCCCCGCAGAACACGGCAGACTCCCGCTCCGGAGGCCCAGATGCCTCCAAGACGGTCCAGTATCGGTCCAAGACGGGCCACGGTGGCCTCAAGATGGCCAAGATGGCTCCAAGACGACCCACGAGACCGTCGAGGCGCCCCAAGAGAGCCCCAAGAGCCTTCCCGAGAGGCTCTCGAGAGGCCAAAATCATTGATGCTCCTTATGTTTCCCTGTGCTTTTCGGATTCCCGCCTTTTCGAGCTTCCGACGTCCCAAGACGACCCAAGAGGCCACCAGGACTGCCTCAAAGACCGCCCAACAGGCCCCCGGGAGAGCCTTAAGACAGCCCAAGAGAGCTCAAAGACGGCCCATGAGGCGCCCAAGCATGCCCAAGAGGGCCCC